CACACACACACACACACACACACACACACACACACACACACACACACACACACACACACAATGCAAACGGAAAAAGCGGTATCTGTGCAAGTGCTTGCTTGTGACCCCCTGTCCCTGGGCCTTACTCTTATGATGCTTTTTCTGTTGATACGTGCAGTATCATGTGATGCTTTTTCTGTTGATACGTGCAGTATCATGTGATGCTTTTTCTGTTGATACGTGCAGTATCTTGTGATGCCTGTGACCATGCAACGGATATCTGTCAGGCTATGTTTGCTAGCGTGACAAATCTGGTGGCAGTGGCAATGTGCCGAACTATTTGATGAACTCTGCATGACAAGTAAAACAATGTCACAAACTATGTGACAGACTGTACACTGTGTGGCAAAGTGTGTACTAAGTGAACTACGATTGTATTGTAAGTGAAGCAATGTCACAAAGTATGTGGTGGATTATGAACTATGCATCTGATCTGATGGACTCTGTAGCGAACCATCACAAAGTATGAACTATGTATGCGGTGAACTCTGCAGTGAACTCCATGACAGTTATGAGTGAAACAGTGCCACATGCTGTGTGACAGTTATGATGAGTGAAACAGTGCCACAAACTATGTGACAGTTATGACTATGTGACAAACTGTGTACTAAGTGGAACAACGTCACAAACTATATGCCTGACCATGAAATTATGTGGGACAGTCTCACAAACTATACGGCGCACTATGAACTATGCTATGGGACAAACTATGTGACAGTTATGAGTGAAACAGTTCCACATGCTGTGTGACAGTTATGATGAGTGAAACAGTGCCACAAACTATGTGACAGTTATGACTATGTGACAAACTGTGTACTAAAGTGGAACAACGTCACAAACTATATGCCTGACCATGAAATTATGTGGGACAGTCTCACAAACTACACGGCGCACTATGAACTATACTATGGGACAAACTATGTGACAGACTAACGAACTATGTGACAAAGTGTCTACTGAGTGAAAAAAATGTCACAAACTGTGTGGAACGAGGTTATGTGACAAACTATGTGTCCAACAATGTGACACAATGCTCTATCTCCAATTGAATGTAAGGGTTTTTTAGGGCTCATGCAACGTTAGACACTTTCCTCAGTCATTATGACGAGTTAAGCGTCCAGATTCAGTACCAGAAGTTTCTACAGGTAGTGCGAGTATGCCTTGAGAAAATCCTTTAGCATTTCTAAGACAGTCTGTTCACAAGTCTTCAAGATGAGAAGTCCAATTCTGTACGGTCTGAAAGTCCTTCTCCGGGAAAGGTCATATACGTATGTATCCCATAATCTGGCGAAATTCATTATAAAAAAATAAAAATAAATCGTCTGTATATGTGATCCTATGGGCGCAAGAGCGTTTTCTTTTATTTACTTCGGCCTCTCACTCAACTCACTCGCTCGAAGACTGGAACCACAAAGCAAGTAAAATAGAGAGTCGTATCATAGGGTGACAATCGCGTACGGTTCGGAGAGGACCCGAGTAGAGTCATCTGCATATCGCACATAGCGGATGTCAGTGCTGACAAGTATGGTTTAGTCAGACCCCCTGTACTTCTTTTATGTTGGGGCCCGTGGGGGGGCGGGGAGGGGTCTGAGTCATCTGACCCTTTTATTTTGGAGTTCCTTTTATTCTGTCTGTTGACTCTGCTACGTCTGTTCAATGTTCTGCAGGTTGTTTTTCTTCGTCTTTTTTTTTTTTAACTTAAAAAAGAGAGGACGTTCTGCAGTCGTAGTTGTGACATCACAATAAAAACGAAAAAAAAGAGAAAGATGAATTCAATCAATGCAACTGGTCCACTGAAGATGGAAGAAGTTCTTTTCTGTTAGTTGCTAATCTGCTCACTAGGAATCGAACCTGTGACCTGCCACCAAAGAGGTGTAATGTTACATACTTCAATGAGTATGGGCAGAACCAAAGATCAACCAATATAGGATGAGCATTTATGCAGTGGAAGTCTGATAACGAACTGACTCACATAGACTGACTCACATAGACTGACCTACATGGCATCACTCCACACACATACAATCATGAGATGGTGGGGTCTGGGTTATTCACAGACGATACCCAGATCCCGTACACACATACACAGATGAAAGGTGGGAGGAGAGACGAAGGAGGTAGGAGGTAGATCACACCGATAGGGCACGAGATAGAGTCCGGTAGGTCTCCGAAATAGTAGTCCAGAATGTCATATAACAAGATCAAATGTCGAGGACCAAAGGTCACCAATGTCGGAGATAACCGAGTCCATATGTAACCGGTGTCCAACTGTGATGCAGCCGAGTATCAACCTCAACAATCTCCAAGTCTCCAATAGGTAAGTACCACAGTCTCGTATCACCGAAATCCAACCCTGATCTCTGTCCAACTGGATAGTCTCCAATCTGAAGAAGAAGAAGAAAAAGAAGAATAAGAAGAAGAAGAAGAAGAAGGAGAAGAAGAGGAGAGAGAGAGAGGGGACTGGCGAGGGAGAGGAGGAGAGATCCTCCAAGCTCCCGGTACCTCAGGCGGTGAGAACCGCCGTGTAACCTAGTCGCCCGCTGCTGCTCCGCACGCTGCTGCGCTATGCTGCGCTATGCTGCGCTCCTGCTCCAGCCCCTGCGCTAAGTTTAGCGCATCAAAAACAGCGCTCTGGCGCTGACCATACCGTACCGGTACAATGCCGGTAGGTCGATGCCTCTACTGAGGCAGGTACCGGTACTTRTACCGGTAGGCCATGGTCTGGCCTCAATGCTGCGAGGCCAGGCCAGACCCTGGACCGTCCAGATGGACGGTTCAGCCTCAATCGGCGGGTGGCAGCCTCAAGAGCGCCGCCAGGCCCAAACAAAGTGTCGTTTGGGCCTACCCGCTGGGCTGAGTTCAAAAATCAGGCCTTGAGGCCTGTAGTCCAAAGGTCGGGCCTTTAGGCCCTGGTGTGTTCCTCCGGCCCTAAGTCGGGTCCGGTAGGACCCGTGTGAATCGAAGATGTAACATGTAATCACTCTGAAGAGAAGATGATTGATTATCAGGGCTTCTGCAGATGTACACAGAACACTGAAAACCAACAGAATTTTCAATTCCCTAAAAAAGTTTTGTTCCTTTTTTGGAGAACAGGGTCGCAAGAGGGCGAATAGTTAAATGCTTCAAAGACTAGAACAAATTGAAACGAGTCGACAAATGCGAGGATTCAGGACCTTGGGCAGGCCAGAAAGAGGCCCTGCCTACCCTATGAGTGGAGGGCCTGCCAAAAAAAAATGCAGCGAGGCCTGAGAACCTGGCCAATGTGAGCAGAAAGGGGTCCGGGTCAGCATCTTCGATTGACCGGTAGCCGCCGCAACTTACGAGTCAGTGGCAGATGCTGGGCCCAGGCTGTGCCCTGTCCCAGTGTGCACATTCTGGAAGGGCCCTGGCGCAGGGCGAGTGGGACAGGGCGCAGCCTGGAGGCACGGCTTCCTCAGCCTCTCCATCCAGCACAAAAGACTGGAGACAGCCCAGACTCACACATCCGGGCATTGTGCCAATGCGGCCACACTGCTGGAGCAGTAGCTGAGCGCTGTGCTCGCGGGAAGCTGATGCGGTGGCAAGAAGAAGGGAGAGCGCCAGCCATAGCCAGGCTGAGTTCTCCATAGCCGGGGTCGTGGAAGTTGCGGAGGTCCTTGGTGGAACAAGGTGAGGGGGACAAGGGAGAGAGGTCATATGAACAAGGCATGTACCTTGGTTCTACAGGAGCGATTGAGAGTAGAGTCGGCGTCCTCCACGACGCCATAGGAGAGCTATGTTGTCGTTGCATTGATGATTGGAGGCGTTGGAAGGGGCTTTTCTTTATCAAGAGAGACTTTGGCGTTTTGCTCGTTCCTATTTGATGTGCATCTCGCTTTGATTTCTGCTTTCAATTTCGGCTCAATTATGTCCAGTGTTCTCTGAGGTGTCCCAATCTGGTTCATTGTTGTTGTTCGCATTGCTTATTTCCTTGCACAAAGAAATCAAGACACAGGAGTAGGTAGAAGGCTTTGTAGTACCGATTTGGTGGGTGTTTTTCGCCCCGGTTTTCGATGAACAGGGCACATGGACGGAGGAGGAAGAGAAGGCTTGGAACCAATGTGCTGTTCTTCTTTCTCCTCCCCGCCCCCCTCCCCTTATTTTTGATGAGCAGGATGGGCAGGTTTGCTGTGCGCATGTGATGTCATTCTGCGCTCTTGTTGGCAGATTGTGATGGAAGGCTAAATCCAGGTGACTTGCGCTTTTCAAGAAATGTGTATGGCAAGCCGTCGCTCTCTTTTCATTTACCACCCTCACCCTCACCCTCCCTATCCCTCCCCCCCCCCCCCCCCCCCCCCCCCCCCCCCCCCCCCCCCCCCCCCCCCCCCCCCCCCGGTTCTTCTCTTCCCCATTTGCAGCTCCTTTTCCGCTCTCTGCGCCGTGTTCCCTTCCCTTGGCACCTCTTTATTTTATTGTGTTTTTTTTTTTAATCTTGTGCAGAGGCCATGCTAATCTTCTTTCTCTGTATCGTTCCAATTTTAATGGATTTCCCAAACGACCGACACCTCTTTTCCCCTGTGCCTCATCGCAAAGTAATTGCAAGGACCTGTGGTCTTGTGGCGGATCCAGTGGGACCAGTGAGGTTTGCCATACTGCTCATAACAAGCCGCTGCAGGCAGTGTGCATGAGAGAGTAGCAGGAGGAGCAGCGTGGTGGAGAGGGAAAGGAAGGAGCAGCATGTGATTCTCGTATTCCATTCTGCGCTGCGCCTCCCGCTTTCCCTTCCCTGTCTCTTTCGCAGATTTGTTATCCCTACCGTCTTCACCCGAATAGAACACCCGGTCACTATAGCTGTATTTGGCCCAACTTTCAGCCCGGATACGGCGATAATTACCGGGTGAAGACGGTAGCGCTGCTGACTAGAAATATCACTCCATAGTCGCTGTCGAATGTTTACCCCTGGGTTCATTGCTGACACGTCGCAGGGCAGGCAGCATCACGGTGGTCATACTGAGTGCAATTAGGGACACTGTGGCAGTATGTATCGTGATACAGGGGCTGGTAGTGTGAACTTGCAATGAATTCGCTGCTTTTTTTTTTTTCCCCTCCCCCTCCCCCTTTTCCCTTCCTAGGTTGTGTTCTGGGGGGATCACTACACTCTGGGTATCGCTAATTTCTTGGCGATCATCATGCTATTATCATCTGTTTCGATTTTATTATCAGCTAATCAGTACTAATCACCGACATCTTGAGGTAATCCTTCAGCTTTCTTGGGAGGTAATTATAGTCTGCCAACTTTGTCTGTATGCCACGTATTTGTCTGCTGGTAAGTTGGTCTCTCTCTCTCTCTCTCTCTCTCTCTCTCTCTCTCTCTCTCTCTCTCTCTCTCTCTCTCTCTCTCTCTCTCTCTCTCT